TCAGATGTAAGTTGCGACCAGTTCAGTGTACTTTTAAATTTGAGGTGACTGATTTCTGTGGATATGCGTTGAAGAATTTTAGCTTTCCATTTTAAGAAGGTATCTATGGGAAAATTCAGTTGATAGCTTGCTTTAACTATAAATTCGTTGATGTTGTTTTCGAAAGTCTTGTAACAGTAATTTGTAGTCATGTTTCTGACTGGTCTAAATTTTGTACCATAACTCATTAGTGTTTTTAGTTGATGGTTTTGTATGATATTCAGGTTGCCAGTAATTATGTGCTGGTGATGAGAATCTACGTAATTGCTGTAAATTGGTGTCTTACAATGTCATTCTGCAGTTTCATCTATTTCATGGTGGTTAGTAAGCAAGTTGCTTAAGGTCCTTTGATATTTAAATGCAATCATTGGTATAGTGTCAACTGCGGGGAAGTAATCTTTACAATCTCTGATGATTCTTGAGAAATGAATATTGTCAAACTGCGGATGCAGAAAATTGACTTTAAAATAAATTTTGCGTTGAGTGAGACTATTAGAGAGTCTGAAAAGACTAAAATCAAGAATCATGTCTTTAATGATTTGTATGTCGTCGTAGCTTTCTTGAATGAATTTTTTTAGTTTGATAAGGAATTTATTAGTACAGGAGTGTAACCAGTTGAGAAGTTTCTTGGGAAAACAGTCTGAGTCAAAAAAACATTTCAATTGTTTTTTCAATGCAAGTGTATCCAAAGTGGATAAAAATCTCGCATTATTTTTTATTTTGCTTCCTCTTTTTCCTCTCTGCGTTTTGATGCTGTAGAGTTTAAATTGGCTGAAAATAGACTTCTTAGAAGTATCTCTATGACTATGTATATAAGTGTTAAGTCCATATGGATAAAGTGAACGTTGTTTTAGTATATAGAGAGATTCCTGAAAAATTCGTGTTTTGTGATTGGGTATTATATCTAGTATCTGAAGTTGAATAGAGTTGAAGTCATGGTGTTTAAAGTGTTCTAATTCTGCTGTATTAAGTTGTGATGGTGTACTTATTTTAATGTTTATTTTTTTGTGCGTTGAATTTTTTGATTTGAGCTCTATGGTTATTGATTCGAAAGTTAAGATTGTTTTTAGTCTGTCCTATATATTTAATATGTCAAGTACCGCATGTAATCATGTAAATACAGTTAAATGTTTTTCATAGAAATTGTTTTTTGGGTTTACCTGTAGCAGGCATGGCGTTAAATTTTCAAGTTTGTCATCTAGTGGAATGACATTTAGTGATTTCAATATGAGTTAAACTAGCAAGATATAAAAGTAAGGAGGCTGCTAACCTTCAATACAGTAAAGTTTTTGTATAAGAACTTTAAAACTTAAAAAGGTTGGAGATAATATATAAAGTGGGTACATTAGGTAAGAGATAAATAGCGCTAATAGCTGCTATTTAGCATATCAAATGTTGTATGAACTTAAATCCATTTAGTGCGAATACAAGTTATTATTACTTGCGCAATTGCTGCAAAGTTAGTTAATAATAATTTATTTCCTAAACAGTATTGATTAATTGATTATATTATCTCCTAAGTTTAATTAAAGTAGAATTATTTTAAAAGTGTGCATCCATACTGGTAAGTTATATTTTGAAAGATGTTTTGAAGTAATTTGAAAGCAAAATGTTAATAATGTTTTAACGGGGACTGGAGTTAAATCATCACGAAGAATAATATTACAATTGTAAAAGTAAAAATTAAAACATGTAATTATTGTCATTGATCGGAAATTAGTTGACTTTTCAAGGGGAACAAACCAACTCCCGTTCAATGATCAATAATTGATAGAAAATACGTAAATATGAAAGTGTTTCGTCTTTACTCGAGTTATAAATTAAAGCCAAACCGGCAATTCTAGTCAGGCCAAATATTTCCGCGAATAGTTGTTACTCAAAGAACTGATTCTCATGAAGCATTTTAGTCAATTCAATTTGGAGTAAAAATCAATTACTGTAGAGAAATCTTGTAAAACTCGAGTAATCGTCCCCGACACTATCATCTTTATGTATTTGAGTACTATATTATTTGTAGAAATTAAACATTGGAAATTGTCATTATGAAATCGAAATCAAAGTAAAGTTGAAATAAACATAGAAGATTATAAAAAAGATAAATAATGCAAACTTTGCAAAAACAAATCAAAGAGAACATAAAAATAATAAAAAATAATATAAAATAAAATAGAAAATAATATAAATAAGATCAGTGAATGTACATGAAGATATAAAGGCCAGAAAGGTATTAAGTAACTTACATTCTTTCTAGTGGGGGAGTTGGCAGTGTGTTCTCTTCGTGTCTGACTCAGAAGTGTAGGGTGTCCGAAAATTCTTAGCGGCAGTAGGGGCTTTGAATTATATCAGTCGGTAAGACTTGGGTGAAGAAATTTATGGTAGTGGGTGGGACTTGGAATTCTTGAGGGATGTATTTTGTGGAGTTCTTATCTGAGAGAGACCGTCTGTTAAGATTTTTTTAAAAATACTAGTGAATGGAAATTAATTAATTTCTGGCTAATTGTCGTGTCGCAATGATTAAGAATTTAAGAAAGGAAAAAGGCATTTTCGCTATCCAAGAGCTAGTAGACAGTCTAAAGGCAGGAAATAGGCCCATTTTTTTAGTAACAGTATAGTAACAGTATATGTCTGAAGACAATTAGCTTTTTACAATATATACAATTGAGTAATTACACTATATACAAATCTTTCAACTGACAGTCATCCAACTTATACCGCCTTCTCAGGTTTAGGAATAAATTATCATATCCCTATCAGTTAAATGATTTAGAGTGAGTATTTAACGCCTGCTCTTTTAAGGCAATGGTTGATAAATTGAAAGGGAATTAGATTATTTTTGAGAATTTTGATAAGGATCAAAATTTCGCGTTGTAAATCTATTGTATCTGTGCATATAGTTTTAATTCGTTGTATTTGATTAATTATAGTATTGTTAATTACTTTTTTGGATATGTTGGAGTTCCAATTTATTAATTTGTTAGTATTGAAATTGAAGTTTCTTGTTTTGTCAAAAAGTAAAATTTTTTTGTAGTTAATGATTTGAAGATCTAGAAAGTCTATGCTATTTTGTGAATTATTAGTTTTATTAAGTTTAAGACAATTCGGATAAATGTCGGAGTTTTCAATTTTACCAAAATTATTAATTGTAATAAGGTCATCAATAAATCTGTAGGTGTGTTTGTAGTAATTTAACTCTTGTGGTTGTAGATTTTTTTGGAAGTTAAATTCTTTGACAAATAAAAAGATATTACAGATCGAGGTGCTGGAATGTAAGCCCATTGGCAATCCTCTGACTTGTTTAAAAAGTTGATTTTGAAACTTGATGTAGTTATGAAAAAGTGTGCATTTTAGGTAGGTTTTCCATTTGTCAAGAGTCATGATATTGAGTATATTAGGGAAAAGTTTTGGTAGATCAAGTAGACTGGTATAGATTTCTTCTAGAGGAAGTGAGGTATATAAGTTTTCAAAATCATAGCAGTTAATGTTTTGGATGTTAATGGTATGAATGGTATTAATGACAGGAGTGTTATTATGAATGATCCAGCAATAGTTATGATTAGTGTTACAATCATTGAAAATAAATTTACAGATTTTATTAAGTTGAATTGAAAAATAATAGTCTATATTTTTCTTGTAATTATTAGTTCCATTAGCTATAAATCTAAATTTTAATGGTGTTTTATGGAATTTGGGAATCGCATAAAGATTAGTAAATCTGTTGTAGTTTGCATTGAAAGTAATATTGAGTTTCTTATGAAAAGTTTTAATCCTGTTTATTATAGATGTTTCTGTAAGGTTGGCTGATTGATAAGTAGTTGCGTTGAGAAGTTCTTTATGAATAATCTCAGTGTAGAATTGTTTTCATATAATGCTAAAGTTATTAGTTGCTTTATCTATTTTTGTAATAGTAAAAAGCTGTTTTAATTTACTAATATCAGATGTAAGTTGCGACCAGTTCAGTGTACTTTTAAATTTGAGGTGACTGATTTCTGTGGATATGCGTTGAAGAATTTTAGCTTTCCATTTTAAGAAGGTATCTATGGGAAAATTCAGTTGATAGCTTGCTTTAACTATAAATTTAAGTTCATGGACCTGTATTATTATTGTTGTAAATTTGATGTTATTTTACTATAACGATTTAATTTTATTAGACAAAAACCAAATCTACTATTTTGACCTGCATCTAAATTTGTGGCGTATAGTGCTTTTTTAAAGAGGAAATAAAATGGATTGATGTACATGTACCTATTTACATACAAATACACATACTGTAATTCTTGAATTCAAAGATTCTGTGAAATTTAAGACACACCCCTTAATTTTAGTACTGCAGCTGAAATAAAGCCTTTGATTCCAACAAAATAAAATGATTGAAATAAAATACTAAAAACGTTCTAACAAAATATTTGAATTCGGTTTATTAATAATTGTATTACTTCATTTTAAATTAATAATTTAGAAAAAATATTACTTTAGAATCATTAGTAATTAAAAAAACCTATGATTCCATGCTTAGTACGCCTATATGAGAAAAAAAGCAAATTTTAAAAGGTAATTTTTAATTTTAGAATCTGATTAATAATTTAGAAATATATTGTCATGCATGATATTTGACATTCTGCTGAATGGAATTTTTTTAAGCATTCATCATTTAGGGTTTATATACCATGAAAGATTGGTAGGAAGTTAGAGATCATCTCAGTTATTTAGCGAGAACATTATGCATATGTGATTAGAATGCAGCAGAATTTGATTCATCTCTGTTTAGTATGCTACTAGAGCAAGGTTCGCAGTAAAAATACGTAGTATAACCACAGAAAGATGCTTCTCTCCTACAGAAGTTGTTACGTGACATGAATAATAAACACCTTACTGGATCAATAATAAGTAGAACTTTCGGAATTATTACATGCCTTGGCAGATGTAGTCTGTACCTTCCTTCCCAAGAAGGACACACCCATGATTCTTGACATTGCTGCTGAGATTTCTTTCCCCCTGACCCCCATTTTTCCAATTTTCTCAGGCTGTAGTGTCACGGCATGACACACAGTAAGCTACAATCATAAAGGAAATGACCGTTGTAAAACTAACGAAGAACAGAGGGATTATGCGCTCCAGAATTTTTCGTCATTCAGATTTTGCAATTTTCATAGAAAGCTGGATGTAGTGTTCATATGCAGCCGATCCAGCACGAAGATGATAAGTCCGTTTTGGACTGCTTTGACGATTCTTTTCAGTTTTTTCTACTCTTGTAAAGCAGGTAAGAGCATAATTCATATTTATCCTTTTATAGGTCCTGTTTTTTATATGAATTTACATAATTCGATGCATAGTAGTTTAGCTACAAACAATTAGTTGTAAGACTACAGTTTATTGGCATAGAAAAATAAAGTTTATTAATTTCTTGGAAAAATTTGAGGTATTATAAAAGAATTTATTAAACATCAATCTTGATTTACTAAAAAACTTTATTAAAAATATGACAAGAAATAAAACATAAGTCTTGAGTGAAGTTAAAGATTTCTGCTATTCATTGGTTAAGCAGTTCATAATGTGAATTAATTTGCTATCTAGAACATATTAAACCTATTCCAAAGTTCTAATTCATCCGAACTTACTTTAACCATACTTACTTTAACGCAATTTGTCTACGGAACGATAAATTATACACAGTCATTCTTATGTACTATTAGCATAGATTTTTTGTAGTTTAATTAATATCTTATTTTTACGCTACTTTTACGTAGCTAAAAGATGCAAAAACCAATTTAAGATTTAAAAAAATTTCACGAAATTTTGTTGGCGGCTCACTTGTTACTTTGAATAGCACATATTCAAATGAATTCTTATTACATGCAAAAATTATGCATTATAATTACATCGGTTATTAAATAAGCAGCCATTAACATTTGTAGTTTTAAAAGCCAGCAGTCATCATTAACTTTTGTATTTTTAAAAGCCAGCAGCCATTAACTTATGTACACTCATATCCATAAATTAAGGATAATTCGGAGTCACGCGGAAATCGAACTCTAAAATAAATATATCACCTGTAAAATCACTACACACATCTTCAAGAATCATATGCAAATTTCAGGAAGTAACCAGATGACACCGATGGTACGTCACAGTGACGAGAGTGTAAGAGAGTGATATATAAAGAATACATGCAAAGAAGTAAAATTGTTCGCAGGCGCTTTATAAGCATTTCAGTGCAATAACCGAATAGGTATGACACAAAGAACGCATTTGGATGATTTTGTACGTGGTAGAATTATCGGCCGTCTGAAATGTGGGCGTACCCAACTGGGAGTATCAGACGAACTTGGAATTGCCCAGAATGTTATCTCCAGGCTTTGGTAACGATTCCAAGATGATGGTAATGCGAGTAGACGTTACAACACAGGTCGCCCCAGAGTTACAACGCCGAATGAGGACCGGTATTTAGCAGTTACTGCCAAAAGAAACAGGCGGAGCACAGCCTCAGACCGGTCTCGTCAGCTCTCTTCAGCCACTGGTACGACAATTTCAAGGTAGACCGTGTACACATGCTTAGGGCAGATTGGTCTATATGCTCGTAGACCTGTCAGATGCGTTCCACTTACTGCAACTCACTGTCGCCTGCGGTTAGCCTGGAGTAAAGAGCATGCATTGTGGACACCGCAACAGTGGGCTTGTGTGATGGTTTCCGACGAGTCCAGGTTTAGCTTGCAGTCTGATTCTCGCCGGATTTTCATATGGAGAGCTCCAGGTACCCGTTACCACCAAGAAAACATCATTGAACGACACCGTTACGGTGGTGCAGGAGTGCTCGTTTGGGGTGGAATTATTCTATGTTCCAGAACTGACCTGCATGTTCAAATTGGAACCATAACAAGCCAAATCTATCGGGACGTCATTCTGGAACAACATGTACGTTTGTTTCGGGCCCTGTAAATCGCCCGAAATTCAGCAGTGCTGTCTTTTATAATAGTCGAAGCCTAGGAACATTATCTTCTGAAAATTCGTCAAATCACTTCCTCCAATGATGTTTATCTGTTTATCACTTCCTCCAATGATGTTTATCTGTTTATCACTTTTTTCATAGTGAGACATCCGCTTCCTCTGCTCTATCAATACATCTATATAGTATGTTATATATATATATTTACTACTGCATCACAGAACGTCATCTTTTCAGTCTGAGCTGATCATATTATTCTGTTACCTGGATTAGACTGATACACTTAAATAAATGAGCGGCACTTATATCTTACAATTAAATTCTTATAATAAAATATTAGTTAATCTCTCTCCACAATCCACCAAATAGCACTGCTGCGGAAGCATTCTACCCGCTTCGTTTCTGCGCTTTGTAAAAAGACCTGCATCGGTTTCCACTACAGATATTCCTCCTATAACATGGAAATAGGTGCATCGTGTGAAGCCACTCACCGTCTTGCAAATCTTAAAGAGTCGGAATTTTTGAGTCTGGCCCTCAAAAGTCATTTGCCCCATAGTTAGAGGCTTCCGCTCCCATGATGCGGCTTCAATTTCTGTTCCCAAGGACATGCGACTTCTCGCACCGCACTTCCAATTTGACCCATAGATATCGCCACGAGCAAGCCTCCACTAAACACACCGACAGCATTGAATAGCGACTGAGCCATGAATCGTCTTAGCTTCTCGACCGCCACAAGTTCCTAGAAAACACTGCGTTATGCGAAGCCGTGTTATACAAGACTAACAACCAATATAAAATAGAGAGCTACTTTCCGGATTCTGTCTGCTGCCTCATTTAAATTCAGACTTTTTTGAAATGTGAACATTTTCCTTGTAAACAAACAATTCCAAATCGGTATTTTCATCTCTAAAGAGATAAATTTATTTTTGAAAGATGTTTTCTTACTTCCAAACATAGTTTGGGACTGACTGTTGCATGAGTACGTCCTTTAATACGTCCATATTCGTCAAGAGTTCAAATAAACAACAACAGAACAAGGTAATGAACGATCCGCATTCAACCGATCAGTCACTGCCGCCAAAATGTTTACAGGGTCACTTAAATCGGAATCATCATCTTTCAACGACGTAAATAACCTTATTTTCTTCGCTGAGTGTAGTTATCAACTTGATTTTTCCGTTATCTTGATCACTTTGCGGTAAAATAATATTGTTGAACATCGGAATTTGTGTACCTGAATCAATAATAGCATCAGTTTCTTTATTTTTGACTAGTATTTTTCATATATTGACGCTTGTGAATTTCGGCTTGTTTCTTGTCGATGTACTCCGAGTTAATATGGGCAAAAATTTCAATTTCCTCTTCGTCTGCTCGCGAAATGTATATGATTTTCATTTTTCGCCTTTGCGAAAGCAAATTATCTAAACAAGCTTCCGGGCTTAGCCCCCTGAATGTCCTTTAAAACTCTCGTCTTAAGTTTCTCTTTTATTTCTACCACGTTTACATAAAAAAGTCAATTTGCCGCGCATTCATCTAACAAATTAAGTAAATTTTAATTTTTAACTTTTATTTTACCTGTTTCATTTCGAACGCCCTTTCAAGTGAGGTAGAATATAAACTCCATATTTCAGGCTTACGCGGTAACGTCAGGGTTACTGTTTTAAAGCTTTTTACTTAGTTTTCTAACGAGTTAGAGTTAACCTGTCCATCCTCACCTGTGTTCGAATTCCTATTCTCCGCTTGAATTCTAGTGATTTTCAGTTGGACTTTTGCATAAGTTCTAAGTTCTAGCTTCGTTTTCTCTAATTCCAAAATCACTTCTTGTTCTGTTCTTGAACGTTCACTTTCTGTCTTCAACTCTTTCCTTTCCTCTTTTTCCACCTCTATACGCTCACTTACTATGGAAACTAAAAATTCTTTTACAAAATTAAAACACACCGGCTTCTTCCGCTGAAAGCCAGTCTCCAACTAATTTTTTCCTCCCCCTAAAGAGAGCTACTTACTTATAAGATTAAAGTTTAGGAGGACCAGGTACTACACATATACTGCATTATTTCCTACTAAAAAGTAAATGATCAGAAACTCGAAATATATTCAATTTACCGTAAACAACTCGCAATGATTTTCAAAATATGCATTCTGATTACCGTGATTTTTAGTAGCGAACTCAATCAGAGTACAACAAATATTCTCTGATATTTCAATTACTATTTCAAAGATTGCTCTTTAACATTTTCTTTCTTTATTGTTTTGGGAAGTTTGCCTAGTTGTCATGCCGCCCAACCGAGTAGCTAGTGACCGAAACGCCGTCGCATGGACCTCCGTCATAAGGTTCTACACCAATCAGAGTTATGCCCATGCGACAGAAAAGAATCTACCATCCACTGCCGGCGGCATTCACTGAATCATTGATAGTAATATTACAACGTTAAATTGACAATGTGACCCTGACTGCCATAACTATGGGCCCGAGTTCGAATCCCGAAGAAGGCGGATTTGTAATTCTCCGTCCGTTCACAGGAGGCAAGGAGGCAACGGTGGTCACCTATTAGGTGCTTTCATAATGAAATGGCCACCACTTTCGGTCCTTATAGAGACGCAAGGCTAATGGCTATTAAATAAAACGTCCGTCCATTAAAAAAAAATAGTTTTTATCTCCTGATTCATTATTATATTGCTGCATCTTTTTCAAACTGTTTTTACTTATTATAGTTACGTTTATTTCATTCTTAGTTAAATAAAATTCCTTTAATAGTGGTGTAAAGAATAATCACATTCTCGAGCTGTTAGTGATTCATATTCAGCTGACAGTTAAAGCAACCATGCTTCAAACACCAGCGAAAATACTGTTGATTTTTATATTTTCTTCCTGAAAACACTTAGTCATCGTTACAATGGCATTTCTTCATAAAAATGCCGGTTACTTTACAATTCAGCAGCTTACATGTACTTCAATATAATCTTAACTAAAAGCGATCTACTTTCATGAAGATGCAAATACCTTTACAAGAGGGCACCCTTCAACAGCAGTCCCAGTTAAACTAGGACGCTTCGCCGTCGCCATTTCATAGTGGCCGTTTTGACCTCAGGACGTTTCGTCGTCGGGATTTCGCCGTCAAGACATGGTTTTCCTTACATGACTGTACTTTATCTTGCCCTATTATACTCGTATTAAATTTATTTAGTTTAATAATTCTGTTTACCTTTTACCTTAATAAAAGTTGCTTTTAATATATAGTTATTTACAAGTATGATATGTATGGAAATTATACATATAGTTAGTTTGAAAATTATGTCAGTATCAAAGATAACTGGGG